TTGACTAACTGAACTTTTTTTTTTCTTTTTTTAACCAAAACTAACACAGAAAGAAAATCTTCTATTTTTTCGGTACTGATTGTCAAAATTTTTAATTTTATAATTTTAGTTTCAGTATTCACCGATTACTTAGTATTATGTTTTTGCAGAGACGGAGGGGAAATTAAAGAAGATGCTGGGCCAAAAATATCTAGGGCTATAAATATCAGTATTACTAGTGAGTTACTTACATGTAGGAATACATGTCAGTATCTAGGGCTATAAATATCCCCCAACCACCAACAATGAAGGTAATTAATCTTTACGCTTCTCTCTCTGCAATTACTCCTTGAGAGCATCTCTCTCTAGAATATTGAGTATTGCTGACTTGAGCGTTGGAGTGTTTTCCCCGAGAAAACATCCTCGGGATTTTCAGGTGTAGAAGCAGCTGAAGACTTCAACAGTGTTGGATTGTGAAGCTGCCGAAACATTGGTGCCGTCTGTGGGAACTCGAACAAGAAGTTGTGTGACTTAACCTGCTGAAAGACAAAATGGTCCGTACTTTTACAGGAGGTCGCCCTCCAAGAAATGAGAGGGACGAACAGGAGGACGCCCAAGCATCTGAGCCCGGCTTAAATGATTTTAGGCCAATGCCCAGAAACCTTTTTGTTGAGGGAGCAGAACAGGATCACCTAAGCGAAACAGATGATAATGAAAGAACACCAACTGGGTATGCAACCCAGCCTGAACAATTCCAGGCCCCAACAGGAACAAGATCAAGACCTTCTAGACAATACAATTCACAGCGTGAACGACCTGAAAGGTCGATAGAACCTGCTCGGACTGCCGAGCTCGAAGAGAGAACCGGAGTTCTCGAAATGGCAATGGGAAAAATCCTTGCCCGACTGATTCCTGATGACCCCCTGATTCCTTTGTTGAACAGGGATGCGCAACCAGCTGCGGTTGTTGCAACTCGAAACTCCCCCGCTCTAAGCAACATAGTGGTGCCGACCAGACCAAGGGGAAGTGGAAAACTAAATATCGAGCCCAGCTCATCCAAACACGGCGAAGAACTGTTGAAGAAGAACGCAGATCTTGAAAGGCAGCTACGAGATGTGCAAAAGTCTATAGACGAGCTGAAAAGTCCCAGGTCGTATCAGCAAACTCTGGATTTAGATAGCGCCCCGTTGAACCTATCCATCACAGCAGAACCGTATCAAGAGGGATTCAAAATTCCCCATTTAGAGACGTATGATGGCTCGGGCGACCCGGATGAACATCTGCACACTTATCAAGCCATCATGAGAATCCAAAACGCCAATGACGCCATGATGTGCAAAGTGTTCCCAGCAACACTTAAGACAACAGCCAGGAGATGGTATCACAAACTCCCCAGACATTCCATAGACTCGTACTCCCAGCTCGCTAAGCTATTCTCCAACAAATTTGCGAGCCAAAGGGAGATTAAACGTACAGCGACTGAATTAATGCAGGTTCATCAAAAAGAGGGAGAATCTTTGAGGGACTACATGCAACGATTCAACAAAGCTACTTTGGACATTGATAACGTCCCCGATACCATCTGCTTATCTGCCTTGTTGCATGGCCTGAAGCCTGGCCGGTTTTTGGACGACCTACTGGAGAATCCGCCCAAGTCATGGAATGAAGTAAATGACAGGTCGGCGAGCTTCATATTGTCCGAAGATTTTCAATCTTCCAAGAGACGAGCTGATGACAGGCACGGAAAAGAGCCCAAGCAGCCTGAAAACAGAGATGACAAGAAGAAACAGAAGGTTGGCGAGCAGAGAGGGAAACCACCCTCTTATCCAAAATATGACAGCTATATACCCCTGAGCTCGTCACGATCCCAGATATTGTCACAGATACAGCATTGGGTCAAGAGACCCCCTCCACAAACACATGATTCTTCACGAGCTGACAGAAGCAAATACTGCGATTATCACCGTGTCTACGGCCATAACACAGAAGACTGTCAGAGTCTGAAGGACGAGCTCGAATTCTTGGCTCGCAATGGAAAGTTGGAGGGGTATGTGCAGAAGCCTTTTGTTTGGCAACCCGCCCAGACCCATTTTGTACAAGAGTACGGCCGACCTCAAGCACCTGGGTATCAGCTCGGTAGCAATCCAAATTCTTACCAGACAGGTCCGTACTCATTTGAGCCGAACAGAGCATACAGAGGACGCCCGTTCAATAGGCGTGGGCAAGGACAGAAAGCACCTACGCAGAACCAAAAAGACCACAGAGGAGTCGGGTACGGTGGAATACCCCCGCCATCGGGCACAATCAATATGATCTCTGGTGGTATACATGCAGGAGGTCAAAGCGCCCGAACCCGCAAGGCGTACGCTCACCAGGTGATGACAGTAAATAAGAACCGGCCTCTTAAGCGTCCATTTGAGGAGGCAGGGTGGGAGAACACGACTATAACGTTCAGCCCGGCAGATTACCAACGAGCAGGAGAGCCTGACGTCGTGATGCCTCATGCGGATCCTTTTGTAGCAACAGTCCATATAGGCAACTATAACGTCAACAAGGTTTTCATTGACACTGGGAGCTCGCCTGATATCCTGTATTGGAGCTGCTTTCAAAAGATGCAGCTGAACCCCAGCTCGTTACAAAAATATGAAGGGCCTATCTATGGGTTCGACAATCAACCTGTTCCAGTGGAGGGAGTAATTACACTTCCCATTTACGTGGGCTTGGAACCACGCTTCAGGATGGCTTCAGTCAGCTTCCTGGTCGTCAAAATGGAATCAGCCTTCAACGCCATATTAGGAAGGGCTACTCTGTGCGAACTGAAGGCTGTCATCTCACAACCCCATCTCTGCATGAAATTTCCAACGCCTCAGGGGGTAGGAGTGCTGAAGGGGAATCAGAGGATGGCCAGGGCATGTTATCAGGATACGTTCAAGAAGGTTGAGCTCGCTGTAGCCCCTAGAGGATCTGAAAGTAGTAGGCCGACTCAGCCCGGCCAACAGACAATGAGCATATCGGACATTGAGCATAGACCCAAGGGAGTCGAGCAGAAAGCAGAGCCGGTAGAGCCAATAGAAACCGTTCCTTTAAACCCTGATGTGCCGGAAAGGACAGTCAAGATCGGCACCAAGCTCACAGAAGAAGAGCGAGCAGAGCTTCTGGAGTTTTTGAGGGTCAATCAAGATGTGTTCGCGTGGACTACTGACAAAATGCCTGGCATCCCAGCGGAGCTGACAGTCCACAAACTCAGTACGGACCCCACCAGAAGACCGGTGGTGCAGAAACGTCGCCTCTTTGGCCCAGAGAAACAAGCTGCCATAGACGAGGAGATACAGAAGCTGCTACAAGCAGGCTTCATCAGGAGAGTGGAGTATTCTGAGTGGGTATCTAACCCCGTGCTCGTCAAAAAGTCGAATGGCAGGTGGAGGATGTGTATTGACTTCACCAACCTCAATGACGCATGTCCAAAAGACCCTCACCCCTTGCCAAGTGTGGAGAAATTAGTGGAGCGAGCAGCTGGGCATGAACAGATGAGTTTTCTTGACGCCAGCTCGGGCTATCACCAGGTTCAGTTGCTGTTGGACGATCAGGAGAAAACAGCTTTCTATGCTGGTGACGCTATCTATTGCTATGTGATGATGCCATTTGGCCTGAAAAATGCTGGCGCTACATATCAGAAGCTGGTACAAATCATCTTTAAGCTCCAGATCGACAAAACATAGAAGTGTACATGGATGACATGATAGTCACCAGCGTGCGAGCTGAAGACCATATAGACGACCTGAGTGAGACCTTTCAAAATTTGCGTCGAGCCCAAATGAAGTTGAACCCCCTGAAGTGCACATTCGCTGTAGAATCAGGAAAATTCCTAGGATACGTGGTATCCAAGAAAGGAATTGAAGTGAACCCAGAGAAGGTTTTGGCTGTTCAGCAGATGGAGCCACCCAAGACTGTAAAGGACGTGCAACGCTTGATAGGTCGTATAGCCGCTCTGCACAGATTCATAGCCAGATCGGCGGAAAGGTGCCTACCGTTTTTCAAAGCCTTGTGAGAGCCCAAACACTTTCAATGGACCGACGAGTGCCAACAGGCGTTTGACGAGCTCAAGCAGTATCTGGCATCTGCACCCCTGCTATCTAAACCTGTGGAAGGGGAGAGTTTATACCTATACATGGGAGTTACAGGAGAGGCAGTGAGCTCAGTTTTGCTCAGGGAAGAGAACAAGAATCAGAAGCCTATTTGCTACGTGAGCAAGGTTTTACAAGGTGCAGAGCAGAACTACCCATTAGCAGAAAAGGCCGCATTTGCCCTGGTTTACACAGCTCGTAAGTTGAGGGCTTATTTCCAATCGCATCGGATCGTTGTCTATACCGATTTGCCATTGAGAAAAATACTCCAGAAGCCTGAACTCTCTGGTCGACTTATTGGATGGAGCGTCGAGCTGAGTGAATATGACCTCAAATTTCAGCCACGTACAACCATAAAGGGCCAGGCCATCGCGGACTTTCTGGTAGAATGCATTTCAGCAACTAAAGAAGAAAAAGCACCTGAGCACCCAGTCTGGGTTTTGTATGTGGATGGAGCTGCTAGCATTGAAGGATCGAGTGCTGGGGCTGTACTAGTGGGCCCAGATGGTTTTAAGTCTGAACACGCACTGAGGTTTAAGTTTCAGGCGACTAATAACGCTGCAGAATATGAAGCCCTCATTTATGGATTAAAGCTGGCGTCCGAGCTGAAGGTACAAAGCATTCAAGTTTTTAGCGACTCTCAGCTCGTCGTGGGCCAAGTGAATGGCAATTGTGAAGTCAGGGATCCCCAGCTCGATCGTTATGCCTCTGTGGTCAGCAGATTGAAGTCAATGTTTGTCTCTTTTCAAATTAATAAAATACCGAGAGCAGATAACCACCGAGCCGACGAGCTGTCCAAATTGGCCTCCTCGCAGGACATTAACCCTCAGAGGTCAACAATCGTCGAGGTGCTTGACGCCCCAAGCTACACCGATCTCGCAGCCGAATGCCAACTATTGAGTACGGATCCCTCTACACCGAGCTGGACCACCCCGCTAATAAGTTATTTACAAAGTGGCGAGCTACCTGAAGACCAGTCCGATGCAAAGCTGGTTAGACGCAGGGCGGTACATTTCACTTTGATAAACAACCGGCTCTATAAACGAGCAGCCTCAATGCCCCTATTACGCTGCCTTACTCCCTATGAAGCTGAATACGCTGTGAGAGAAGTTCACGAAGGGGTATGTGGCACGCACATCGGTGGCAAAACTTAAGCTCGGAAACTCCTAAGACATGGGTATTACTGGCCCACTATGGTCGAGGACGCGCAGAGTTATGTCAAAAAGTGCCCGACCTGCCAGTTCAATGCTGATAATATTCACATGCCAGGTATCTGAGCTCGTTCTAGAGTTTATGCTAACTTAGTAACTGTCTATGAACTGAGCATAAGTCCCTTCCTTGAAACAGGGGAAATGCTATCATCTCTCACGTCTCCCTGGCCCTTTGCTCAATGGGGTGTCGACCTACTCGGCCCATTCGTCAAAGGCAAAGGAGGCTGCACCTTCCTGGTCGTTGCAGTGGATTACTTCACTAAGTGGATAGAAGCTAAACCATTATCCACGACAACAGGAAGGAAAATAGAAGAATTCCTGTTCAACTCGCTATTGTGCAGGTTCGGCATACCTAAACGGATCATTGCCGACAATGGGCCACAGTTCCGAGCAACAGCACTGAGATCGTTTTGTAACGACTATGGCATCGAGCTCGCCTTGACATCCGTGTACACTCCACAGTCTAACGGGCAAGCCGAATCCGCCAATAAAATCGTCTTGCGAGGCCTCAAGACACATGTCTTAGCCGCACATTCTAATTGGGTTGACGAGCTCAATAAAGTGCTCTGGTCTTGTCGTACTACTCCAAGCTCGGCCACGGGCGAAACCCCTTTCAGCATGGCTTATGGATCTGAGGCTGTCATCCCAGTAGAGATCGGGCTACCATCTAATAGATCAGATCGTCATTACGATCAGAATAATGAACAACTCTTAAGAGAGAACCTAGACCTTGTAGAAGAAATCAGGGAGATGTCCCGAATAAGAAACATGGCACGCCAAAGTCGTGTTGCAAAATTTTACAATAAAAGAGTTCGAGCTTGCCAGTTTCAAGTCGGCGATCTAGTCCTACGTAAAGCTGGGTTAACTAACGCTTATTCACGCATGGGCAAGCTCGCCCCTAATTGGGAAGGCCCCTATATGGTTGTTCAAGTTAAACGACCTGGCTCTTACGTGTTAGCAGATATACAGGGACGTCAGTTGCCTTACATTTGGAACGTACATAATCTTAGGAAGTTTTACAGTTAGCGTGTATATTATTAGTGCTCAGGTCGTTACTGGTCATTTGTAAACAGTGATTTACTGAACATTCAACACAGAAATTTTGGAAACAAAAGATTCAACTTTGTATTTCATCAATGAAGTTTTACATGTATAGTACATTGGATAAATAAATTCATTGATTAACACAAGAATACAAAAAAGAAACTACCAAAAGAGAACAAAAAATCCTAAGCTAGTCGTCCGTCAGGTCGACGGGGATGGATGCGTCATTAGGTACAGCGGCAGATCGAGCTGGAGATGACCGATCTAGTGGAGAGAGCACTGGAGAGCGAGCAGCAGCAGCAATAGCAGCCGGAGCAGGAGCAGAAAGAGCAGAAGGGGGGGTGCTGGAAGCCTCAGCAGGCACGTCATGGGGGCCTGCCACCCAAGCATCGAAGCTTGGCAACCCCTCTGTGTCCTCTCCCTCCTCTACGACAGAAGGGGGCCACACGGGCAGCCCCTCTTCGTTCAGCTCCCACTTCAGCTTCACCTGGATGTCAGCGGGCTGGGCGAGACTCTTTCCTTCCTCGTCAATATCTTCGCCCTCGAAGAAGGCCAGCTCGCCGATGGGAAAGTCAGCTCAGACTCGCAGCACCTTTCCACGAACCTCGTTGAAGATGTCCGTGGTCGTGTTGGCAGAGGCAACTGCCATGGCGTCCTGGAACATCTCTGCCCCAACCAGCCATTCAGCGCCTTGTGCACGGGAGAAGCAGAGGTCCAGTTGATGGAGCCTCTTGCACTCTTCCAAGGACGCCTCAGCTCGGGCGACGTGTTGGTCAGCTTGGGAGACCCTCTCCGCCATGGCGTTCAGGTCGTGCAGAGTCTTTTCCCTCTCAGCCTCGGCCCTTTTGGCACGGTCCTCTGCACAACCAGCCTCTTTCTTCGCAGCTTGGATGCCGCTCTCCCTCTCCACTCGGGCCCTCACGAGCTCCTCCTTCAGCTCATCAATCTTACGGGCCAGCTCGTCAGCTCGGCTTTCAGCTGACGCCGCTCGGTCTGCCATCTCCGAGCTCTGCAAACGACTGACCTCGTCAGTCAAGCTGGCTTTTTCAGTGGCCAGTTGTTTGCAGCTTTTCTGGAGCTCGTTGTTCTGCGCCCGGGATCCCTGCTCGCACTCAAACAGCGCGATAGTGTAGCTGAACGCCTACAATACATATTCATTCGTCAATTTATAACAAAAGTGTGATAAAATGAAAATAAGGAGCTCGGCAAGTGTACTTACATCCATCAGCTTGATTAGCGCAGCATGACCCCCATGCTGCTGAATGTGCCCCTTCGCACACAACCGATCTACAGGAGGCACAAAGTTTTGCATACCCTGCAGCATAGCAGCATGGCATTCAGTTCGCACGTAACTGAAGCCGTCTGGGTATGCAATCTTAGGCCCCGCTACAGACGACGAGGCTGGTACTTGCTCGGTGACTTCACGAGCTGGCACTTGGGGCACGTTGGAGGGTCTTGCAGCAACGGCTGGGACGGGCTGCGAGCCGCTGCTCGTCCTGCGCCGCATGAGAGGCACATCATCCTCTGCATCAGCATCTGCGTCTTCCCTTGAACGCCTTCTGGAGCTGGAAGGCGCAGACTCGATTCTTTGCTCGGCACGCGACCTCTGTGCCGAGCTGGAGCTTCTGTGCTGCGAGCTGCGCCCTGGTACAGTAGGTGGCCGCTCGTCAAAGCGGGACTGACGTTGGGAGCCAGACCCTCGGCCCCTTGAGCCTTGAGCTCGCTGGCGCTGTCGCTCAAGAATGCTGCTCATGACTCCTGCACAAACAAAAGCATAAGACTCAGATCGACTAGAAACTATACTATTATATAAAGATATACCTTGAGAGTGTAGATTTGCCACGTCGACAAATCCGAGAAGTGCGATCTGCTCCGGGGTAACCAAGGCCTCCAAATCCACCAACCCCCTTGCCTTCACATAGTCGAGCAGCCGGTTCTTCAGGTCGATATCACCACCGGTCAGCTGGGGATAGTTCATGTATGTGTTCGGCGTACGCCACTCTGACAAACGGGCGGCGAGCTCGTTGTTGATCCTGTCAGTTCGCGTATCACGCACGAACACGAACTGTCTCTTCCACCTCGCCACCTTATTTCTGATGTTGGTGAATATCATCATTTTCTCCCTGCCCGAGATGTAGTACCACCTCTTCCCACTGGTCGACGGGCTCAAACGGCACAGGAAGAGCGACCTGAAGACCACCGCCCTTGCAGGCATCCCCAGCCTTTCGCACAACAGCATAAAGCCTATGATGAACTTTATGCTGTTGGGAGTAAGTTGCGAAAGGGCCAGCTCGTACTCTGCCAGGACATCAAAAATTAGTCCAGGCAGAGGAAAACGTAGACCGGCGTCAAAATGGTCTACGTATACTGGCACCCAGCCCGTCCGTGACACTGAACACGCCCGTTCATTTGGTGTCCCTGCTCGGATCAGAATGGTCCTGGGGATCTGGAATCGCCTCACCATCTCCTCCAGCTTCTTGAACCCCTTCACCATGGCCGCGCCATCTGCAACCTCGTGATGCAGCACCGCTCTGAACTTGAAGCCGGCCGGAAGGGTTTTTGGAGCCTTACAAAGGTTGTCCAGTCGCCCACTCAAAACTTTACTCTCCCACCCTTCAAACACCACCACCTCCGCTGCTGCACTCGTCACCGGTGCACTGCAACCAACCTCCTCAACACCCTTTGCCCCACTGGGTGACTCTTCTGTGGGCGTATCGCTAGAGGTTGAAGTTCGGTGACCCTCAGAGCCACCACTTACGCTCAAACTGGTGTTACTCGCAGGCGTGGCGGTTCTGGGCAAATCCTGCAACTCCGGCGGCACTATCATTGTGATAGGCTCCACGGATATTACATCGACATCGCCCTCTTCACCTTGGTTACCCCGGAACTCTCGTGCATCGTGGAAAGAAGCCATTTTTACCTGAGTGGTTGAAGATGCTTTCGCTGGAAATCTGGGAAAATGGTAGTGAATGGCTCTGCAGTCTTCTCTGAGAACGTACGAGTGTGCTGTGTAATCAAATGAAAAACATAACAAACTGTGTTTGTTTGTTTTGTTTTGGCCGTTCAGATAGCGCCCTGTAAACACCGTACGCGTGTTTACGGCCCCCCAGTCCAGCACGACCACGTGGCAACCACTTATGGTTAAAAATCCAAAACGCGCAGTTTGCAGCTGTCACGTCCCCTCGAATGCTGAGCAAGCATTTATTGCGGGGAGGCAAAAGGGCATCTGTCAAAAGCAGAAGAATACCAAACGCTCTGAGCAAATCTCCTCAGAGATTTGCCACAATCGTTGAAAAATCCCAAGGATCAGATCGAGACAAATTTCAATAATCAGCTCGTAACAAATTTGACAAATTTGAGACTTAGGCGAATCTCCCTAGAGATTTGCCACAGTTCAAATTTTGAAAATTCCAAGGGACCAGATCGTAACAAATCCGCGATCACCTCACGGATCTTGAAAATCTCAAGAAAGCAGCTCAATCAGCTCGTCACAAATTTGAGACTTAGGCAAATCTCCTCAGAGACTTGCCATGGTTCAAATTTTGAAAAGTCCAACGGACCAGCTCGTAACAAACCCGCGATCACCTCACGGATATCGAAAGTCTCGAGAAATCAGCTCGTTACTAATCAGGGGTCTCTTAAGAGATCCTAAATTCGAGAATCCTCTGGCCATCAGGTCGCACAAATCATGGGTTTACCTCAGATTCGGGTGTCGAGCGTTGAATTGAAACCAGCTTCCTCAGAGCTGCTCTGTATCCCAGGGAACTATATCAGAGTGGCAGGTATGGTTACCATCCTCTGCTTGTCCAGGGTCAGCGCGTCCAGCTCGTTCACTATCTGCTCATCTCAGCTCCGCCGCAGGGAAGTCCTCATGCAAGGTCACTCTTGCACGCCTGCTCAAATCTCTGACTAGCACCGAGCTCAGCCGGTCGTAAAACCAACTCCTCACACCTGCTCGGAATAAGGTTCGGCATACACTGGCACATCTGATCAGGCACGAGGTCTTCAAGCCGATCAGGCCGTCTATGCGTGAGGTCGTTCATGAACACAAAGTATCCCTCCTCATCTTTAGGGCCAAGCACCATGCTGACTAGACCCCCATCCAGTTCGTCAACCGAACGTTGGGGGGGAGTAATGTTGGGATTAGGCCCAACGCCCAATTCGGGCCACATATAACAGGCCCAACTATGCACACGCAGACCCAAGATGAGGAGACATACCCACGTGAGCAGCACCACGTGGGCCAGTGAGTTACTTACATGTAGGAATACATGTCAGTATCTGGGGCTATAAATATCCCCCAACCACCAACAATGAAGGTAATTAATCTCTACGCTTCTCTCTCTGCAATTACTCCTTGAGAGCATCTCTCTCTAGAATATTGAGTATTGCTGACTTGAGCGTTGGAGTGTTTTCCCCGAGGAAACATCATTAGGATTTTCAGGTGTAAAAGCAGTTGAAGACTTCAACAGTGTTGGATTGTGAAGCTGCCGAAACAAAAAGTTTATTAAATTATCAATTAATTTAAATTTAAATCGAATAAAATTTAATAAGTGACAAAACTCTTTATCATAAATTCTAACGAAATTATATTTTGAAAAATTAAAATCAAAATTTTTGATTAACTCATCCGTCCACTCGTAAATTTACTTTCTCCAGTGATTTTTCTTCTCAATTTACCTTTACATTACACGATATCTTTTTTGGTATTATATTTTTGG